TCTCTCTCTCTCTCTCTCTCTCTCTCTCTATCTATCTATCTATCTATCTATCTATCTATCTATCTTCCTCCTATCGAAATCCAACCCAGCTCTAGATCTCCCATTCCGATTTCTTCTTCGCTCGTCCCGCCCTCGTAAAGCGCGCCCGTCCTCGGAAACATATGCCACCCGTTGCATGCGGTATTCCCAGGTCCTTCTGACCATCCCTTCGTCCTACGTGTTACGCTTGGAATATCCGTTCCCTGGTCCGCCTTTCTCCTCCCTCGAGGAAGAAGAAAAAGAAGAACCGGGAAGATTGTCGGGTTAGTCGCGGCATTTCCGAATTAGCAAATCTTGATTCGAGTCTCGGACTCCGATCGGAGCTCGGACTTGATTGGAGCCGTAACCGGCAGACAAGTTTTCTGAGTCGCGTCCTCTGGCTGCGAGACGCCCTTCCGGTAGAAAGTACGTGTAATCGCGGGACACGATCGATCGTGAACGACGCCCTTCGACAGGAACCGTTTGCTTCGGGGATGTTCGCGAAACGGATCGGGTTTCCCGACGATCGTGCAACGAGCAATCCCGTTCTCCTTGTGTCTCCCTCCTTCGCTGCGTGCACATTTTGTCGTGTGGCACATTTTGTCGCGAGTGGCACGGCACACGCTCTGATCCGTGTGATTATCGGAACATTGGCTTTCGTTAGGAGATGGGCACATCACAGGCTTAACGAGCGAATTACGGTTGCGATACGTTCCCCAGGAGAAATGTACCATATTTTCGCTAATAACCCGAGTAGTCCCGAGAGTGTACCGCCGATTGATGGAACATTCCTAATTATGAAACCAGCGAATTATACGCAAACATGCGCAGAATGCGGGGGAAAGTGGACACAGTCCACCGATTTCCCTAACAAGCCAATCTTTCCGTAGCGGTAACGTCTAATAATTTTCGCGTTGGACACTACTGGAAATGAGGGCCGCGAATAAACAGCGAATGGTAATGCGGAAAGAATGTTACTTTGTTAGAATCTTTATTGTAAGACGTGATTATTTGAAATTTTGATTGACATCCGGAAACACAATCTTCTCACGGAAAATGGAATATTTCTCTTGGTGTTTCTGTCTCTTGCTGCACAGACTTACGTTACTTTAATTGTTAAAATATACACAATCACAGATGTGCAATCGATCATATTATCGGGAACGCAATGATACACAATAATGGGTTTCCGACACAAAAGAAACGATTCGCGTCGAAGTACTTCTCCGCGCCTGACAAACAAAATTCCATTACGAGCTGCACGAAGCACAATTGGAACGCTCAAGGAGACCTCACGGAAATCTACGGGAAACGATTGTGCCCATCGCAGCTTTCTTGTTCACCTTTGCGAACTCGTTCACCGAACACTCTTCAACACGACGGCATATAATCTGCTACAACCTGTCAACAAAGTAGAGCGTCGATAAGACCACTCCACGCTTCGTAGATCTTTCTTGTCCCATATAAGTAAGCCGACATGGTATTTTGCAGTGACGTATATATATATAGTATATATATATATATATATATATATATATATATATACAACTCTCCGACCACCGCTTACTCCGTATCCCCATTATGCTAACAAGCGCATGCAAACGAGTGATATAGAATTTTGTTCTGATACATAATATAAATATGTCTATAATCATATACGTAAAACTTGTCTCTCCTTTGCGTACATATTGCTACTCGTGCACATCTACGTCATATGCGTATTGTATATACATACGTGTGCCTAGAACGCGCACACTTGCGACGCGCTCATATCAAACGACACTCGTGAAATCGTTGCGACGCGCGAGGTGCCATCGCATAACAAGAAGCATCATGGGATCTGTCTGATTATGCCTGTCTGCCGATTATTATAATTACAACAGTTATAACAACAAATTACGAATAATTTGTCCAATCTTATTATTCGGACGTGAAACTGCCGAACGCAATCATCGTGTAGTTGTAATGTCCCGGCTGCTAGCGTTTGACGATTGCAATACGTCAGCGGTGCCAGCAGATTCCATCGTAGCATTACGGCAAATTGGTATCAACTGCGCCCGCATTGAGCTCATACGTTCGCTCGGCAGAACCAGCGCGAGTAATAGCACGGCAAATTTATGACCGAAATCGAGCAGATTCGCAGCTTAATGACGGATTGATGTAGGACGGTTAGCTCTTATTTTCATTCGAAATGCGTTCGGTATGTATTTTCATCCAAAAATCAAGTATTATTAAACTTGAAATTAGTGCACGTGTAATGAAGAAACAGCGCCCAAAAGAATATAATTTTATTCTTAACGAATATCCCCTTGTATATGGACTCAAAAGGATTCCTCTCTAAAATCAAAAGGAATATAAAACACTCAAAAAAGAACTCTAGTTGCAAAGTGCTCTATTTGTTATAATCTCGTATTCTAAGCGAAAATTGTTAACGAAAAAATTTCCCTTTCTATCGAAGTGTGAACTATTAAATCGTAAAAATCTATTAGATATTATTCTAACTTTCTTTTCCCTTTGAATCAAGAGGATTATGTTTACATGAAGCAGAATTTGCCGTCTTACTAGAAAAAAATTTCTATTAAAAACAAGAGAGATTTGTACTGTAGATAAAAAATAAAATTCCACTATCTTTAAGAGTATTACGCTTAGAATATTTTCCTTTTGGTTTTAGAAGAATCCTTTTAAAGCCACATATAGGAAAATCTCCTCTAAGAACAAAATTATATTTTTTTTGGTAACTAGATTACAAATATATGAGTAAAATGTCTAAAAATAAGTATTTTGAAATGCTAATATGACATCTAACGCAATCAGCTATATTTTCAAGATTGTAAGTGTAACAACGACGGCATAATCAAACAGACGAAGTGGCTATCGAATCGGCGGAAATATATTTGCAGTGAAAAAAATTAGCCAATATGCGCTTTGACAATTATAATCAAGAAATTCGTAGTTTAACATTATTAAGTGTTTATATCATTATAAATAAATATAAAGATATATTAATACGATTGCTGATATCATCATTAGAACATTTTAAAGTTTTGCAACGCTTGCTTTCCG